AAATCTAAAAATCACTAAATATGCAAAAATATGCACTAAAAACTTTTGATATGTTTTTCGTAGTGTCTTGAAATGAATTTCTAGCTTACTTAGCAATAAATCTAATGGTTCAAAAAAATCATGCAAATGCAACAACTTCCGAGCCCTACTTATAACTTACAATACTTTAAACTAAAAAAAGGTGGACAAGTGGTTGTCGCTCTTCTGTACAGTAGGTTACAAGTGGGTCACTGTAATAGATGGTATTCAATTTGAATTCAATGATATAATATCATCGTATAAGAAAAACGATTCTTTGCCAGTCTGGATGTTTTATATTGTTATTATTTATTATAGCCAAATATACAATATTATACAATCTTGATCCAATTTGCTAAAAGATAAGATATGTTGAACTCCTTCTGGTAGAAATTTTGTATACAGGATACAAATAAACACCTGTAAAATCACTAGCTTCCTCGCTCAGTTCAGAATCTAAAAAAAAAAAATATAGGTAAGATTAAACTATAACCTTTAAATATAAAACTAAAAACAACTGTAAGTACTATAGATAATTTTTTTTATAAATTATGCTACATTACTAAAGACACAACGTAAATACTTCTATGTTTTATTAGGTAGTTGATTTCGATACAGACATTTGTACAACAATTGTACAAATGTCTATATTAATTTTAATAATTTAAATTTATTAATTATATTAATTTTAACAATTTTAACCATATGTATAGGCGAGAAATGCTGACGTTTCATATAATAACGATTTCTTCTGAAACGATATTTGATATTTTGTAATTGTTCAAATGCTATTATTCATAGACATTTAAAATGTTGTATAATGTTCTACTTTTTTTTATAAATGATCGTTCCGAACAAGACTAAGCAAATATTTTCACAAAATATCTAGAAGTTACTTTTCAGCCACATTGTGTATAATATGGTATCTCCAAATAGGACCAAAGACGTAGACAATTTCTTTGACTCACCCTTTGCCAATGTCACTTCCTCCTCGTTACTTCTCTCCCGGTGAAGTAAATTATCAAATAAAAAAAAATCACAAGTGTTTGACTTAATCACCGGTGAAAATAATAGACACCCTACTCAGAAAACTATTGTTTTCCTTACCCAAATATTTAACTCAATGATTAGAATATTCTACTCCCATATTTTATGGAAATACTCAACCATCATTCACAACCTAGAACATGAAAAATCACCAAGCTCCCCTTCCTCATACAGGCCAATAAGCCTTCCTCGAATTCTATCAAAAATGTTTGAAAAACTACTACTAAAACGTATTCTACTCATAGTTAATAATGCAACTATTCTACCTAACTACCAATTTGGATTTCGTAATAGTTATTCTACTATACATCAAGCACATAGAAGGTTGACAAAATCTCATTCGCCTTGGAAGAGACAAACTTTACTGTACTGATGCCTCCCTTGATGTCTCCCAAACGTTTGTCAGGGTGTGGCGGTGAAACCCGATTGAGCACGGTCCCTATTTTGGAACAACCCGATTGAGCACAGTCAAATGAATGCAACGTTGCCAATTTTTTTGTCCGACTACAACCAAGCTACACGCGTCTTTTGTAATACTCGTATTCGTATACATAAAGCTGGTGGGAATACTCGTCAATTTTTGTGCTTTACAAGTCGTATGGGAGGTGTTTAACAGTAGAGCATGCAGGTTTATTTTGCAAGATAAAATGTATGTTACCCAGCCGCTACTATTTAATTCTAAAATCTTACTTAGAAGTTAGAAGACCACTTCCCCTCAGAAAAGAATTAATGCTGGTGTACCTCAAAGCGCAGTGACGGCCTCCCTACTTTTAAACATATTCATCACTGATCAGCCAAACTAAAATCAAACCCTAGTCGGTGACTTTGCCAACGACAAAGCCTCCCTCTATACGTCCATAATCATCTCAACCTTCTCGAAACATGGTATAGAAAATGGGGAGTTAAAATGAACGAGAATAAGTCCATCCATTGTACGTTCACTCTCCGTCAGAGAATATGTCAGCCACTTTCTCTCAATAATTAACCTTTACATATAGCTCAATGTGTACGTTACCTTGGTATTCATAAAAATAAATGATCGTATTCTATACACAATAATGTCATGTTCAAAATATTTAGACTAATTTTAAACTATTCACATTTAGATTTTGGTCATATTATATTATATGAGATATATGAGATGTTTTTGATAAAAAATAGTTCAACTTACCGTACCTATAACCAATTAAAAAACCTCGAAACCTACACTATATAGCAAATTGAGTTCTCAGATTTTTTAAATATAATTTGGATAGATTTAAAAAATACTACTCCGTATGTTATTATAGGTATTAATGTAATAATATACTATTAGAGGTGTGTTCGATGAGTATGATTAATGCGTTATTAGATTTTTGCATTGGACATATTTTGAAAGATAAACATTACTGTTCGCCTTTGATGTAACATAAATGGTATAAATCCTATTGGCTATTATATGAACAAATTGCATTGTGGCTGCATATTATTATACCGACGAAATAAAGGACAGCTATTAAACAAACTGCCAACTGGATCCTTTAGAATTTAGTATTCACAGAATGTTTAAACCGTATAATAATAGGTATCCAATACTGTAATAACATGATATATTATATTATAAATTATACAATTAGTGACAAAATGTAATGTTTTCGTAAATTTGTACTCATTGATTTTTGAGCTTTTGAGTTTTGACATTGTTATGAAGCTTATTTCATGAACCCATTTAGGTGTACAACATTCAAAGAGTTCAAAAAACGAATCATATATAGATATGATTACATGAAATTATTGTCAAATATTTATTTTAGTAATAAAGTAAATACTTAATACATTTTTCTAAAAAGATGTACTTATCTAAATTTTTGAGGAGATAAATAAAATTGGAAAACATTTGGACGTTTGTAGTTTATTTCCGCTTTTTCTTTTTACAAATATCTACATAATAAATATGACCAAATGTCATTCATATCAGAAAACAAAAGATCTTAATCGATATTTTTCCTTTTACAGCATTCAAATTTGGTTGACATTATAATTATTTTTAGCAATATGTTTTTATAGCTTGTGTATTTAAAAAAATTTATCATTATATTTATGAAAAGTTTCTTAAAAATGCATCAAAACCAGACATTTTACATGCATTTTTTAAACGCCAACTCTTTTTATTCTGATAATCAACTTGGTTTTTTTACAGGGTAGTTTGCAGGTCAGTAAATGATGCATATTTCTTTGTCAATAAATAGATACATGGAAATCTAGATTTGAGTAATACAATACCTATGGGGATTTTTCTAAATGTCAGAAAGGCCTCGAATTAGAGGTACTGAAAACTATCTTATTAGATAGAGTCATACAAATGGACTACAGGTAGTGGCTCATTGTATTTATTATATAAATGGATTGTTTAGCATTAATGTTGATGCTAATATAGGTACCAGCTACTGTGGTCTGTGTTTCACAGAAGATACTGTTATTCTCTTACAATAAAATAATTTGATAAATTATAAACAAAAGCAAATTAAGTCAATAAGGCCATACATTTGTGGTTTAAGAATAATTTCCTTGAATTAAGTTAAACTAAATCCAAACATTTTATATTATGTTTAATTTTAAAAATAAAATACAAATATTGAACAGAGAGTATATATAAATAAAACAGTTTGTCGGAAAATTAATTATGTTAACGTATATACAGCTATAGTGTACTTGCGATAAAATATTGAAAGAGTAAATTCTATTAAATATCTATGACTATTTATTGATTTCCGGTTAAAATTGAAAGATTTATATTGACTATATTATAATATTTATAATATAGTATATTGTGTGATTAGGCCATAAGTTAATTTTTATATTCAGTAATTTACAATCAATATTTAATAAACAACAGCTGAGAATTGTTTGTACATCGTTTGAACAATCAGTTTTAGATTCTGAGTGAAACGATGAATGTATTGATTTTACAATATGTGTTTTTTTATTTTTTATTTTTGTGCCTGTCATCACCTTTTAAGACAGTAAAAATGCTTAGATTTTCTTCAACAGTATCTTTTCTGATATGAAAGCGAACCTACTTGATATTTTTTTTTTTTTTTTTGGGGGGGGGGGGTCAAAAGTAAAATTTTTCCAGTAGTGAAGCACCGTGAAAAACAAAAGAAAAATGAAGGAAAAATGGGAATATATGTACTCAAAATCTGTATTCGAAAAAACCGATTTTGGTTCTTGGTGAAATTCTTAAACAAATGACCGTAGGTACATGAAATGTTGAGTGAATTTTTATATTAGCATTTTCTATACACCATAACATTTTCCAAATATTTTGACTTATTTTGAGCTGTTTATGGACATTTTCAGTTTCCATTTTTTTTTAGTTTTTTTTTCTATAAATATCAATAAAATTTTATTAGTTGGGTAAAAAATTAAAAAACTTGAAAATTTAATAGAAGGCTCCTGATATATTATTGTTACAATAACAGTTGAAAAATATTAAAAATATTGAAAAATATTAAAAATACATTAGCACAATTTTTTTTTATATGCATTTAAATTTCAAATTTTGACAAAATTATCATCACATTTAAAATGTAATAATAATTTTGTAGTTAAAAATGTATAAAATGTTCAACTTTTATAGTTAAGGATTGAAAATTTAAAACAAGATTCCACGTAAATAGTTATATATAAATTATTTTTTTCACTTTAATATCATCAAATATACTTCGTAATATCATAGGCTGACTGACCGTTTTCCCTCAGAGTCGTTTTTTTTATACAATGATATTATATCATCTCAGATATAAATCATTATATCAAATCAGCCAAATCCACAGATAACGATAATGATTTTATGAAAACTCTTTTACCACTAATTAACACATTTGTTACCCAATTAATGCAGAAAATAATACAAAACCTGCCAGTCATCATTAACAGCTTAAACTTAAACACCAATGGAGCTCCATAATACTATATTATTAAACTGGAATGCTAACGGTCTTAAAAATCAAAGAAATACATTACTAGCTTTTCTTAATCATCACAACATACATATCGCATGCATTACTGAAACGCATTTGTCGCATACAGATAAAATTAAATTCCCTGGTTACAAAATTTACCGCGCTGATCGTATTACACAATCTCGCGCCATGGGCGGAGTGGCTATTCTAGTACGGAACCAAATCAAACAACAACAATTGCCTACACTCGTTCTGTCGTACCTAGAAGCCGTAGCAGTTTCCATTAACATAAACAATAAGTATATAACGTTCGTCAGTGCGTATCAACCTCCTAGTCGCCAAATGCTTATCGCAGACTATGAAATAATCATGAACTTAGATAACTCAGTTATAATTGCGGGCGATTTAAATTCTAAACACATTAACTGGGGATGCCGTGTTACAAATCCAAATGGCTCTAAATTACAAGCATTCATAGGAAACACACCTTTTACAATATCAGCTCCAAATACACCTACCTACTTCCCAACAGATTTAAACCGTTTGCCCGACATATTAGACATTTTAATAATTAAATCTGTCCCATTTGTATGCGTGCACGAACCTCTCATCGAACTCGACTCGGATCACATACCTGTTAAAATAACGATTAACTCACCCTCTCTTTTTCGCTGTACAAATAACTCATTAATTAAAGGAAAACCAGACTGGATTAGATTCTCTAACCATGTACAATCTAATCTGAAAATACCAACATGTGTACCTACCATTCAAATAGCAGAACAAACAGCTGATCATCTGAGGGGCGTCATAATAGAAGCCGCTCAGTCCTGTTCTAACTCCGTACCGCAAAATATACACAGTCCTGGCATCCTACCACACTCCATATCTTCACTTATTCGTCGTAAACATTTAGCCAGGCGCACCTGGCAAAACCATAGGAACCCTGCAGATAAAAAAATACTAAACCTACTCACCAAAGAAGTCCAAGCAGCTTTACAAAATTACCGTGTAGCCTCATACAATAGTTACCTGTCTAACATGCGACCGGGTGAATCAAATTTGTGGAAAGCAACAAAAAGGCTACTAAACCAAGCTACCAACACCATTCCCCCTCTTCGCACTGATGCAAAACTTGTTATATCCGATCAAGAAAAATGTGATGTTTTTTCAAACATGCTGTACAATACCTTTTCTCCCAACCATATCTGTAATCCAAGCAATGACCTAAGAGTAAAACACACCTTAGAACTACCAAATTATGAAGTCCAAAATTCCATAAATTACGTAACGCCAAATGAAATCAAACAAATTATTAATAATCTCCCGATCAAAAAATCACCGGGTCACGACAAAATTACAAACCTTATGCTAAAAAAATTACCACCGAAAGGACTAGTGTTTTGTGTTTATGACCACATTATTTAACTCTTTACTGCGTCTTGGCCACTTTCCGCCCAAATGGAAAGTTGCAAACATAATACTAATAAAGAAACCTGGAAAGGACAAATCCATTCCTGACAGCTACAGGCCAATCAGCCTCTTATCTTCAATTTCAAAATTGTTTGAAAAAATCATTCACACTAGACTTCTTTTCTACTTAAATGCCATAGATATTATACCTAAATTCCAATTCGGGTTTAGATCAAATCATTCTACGGTTCAACAATTACTTAGAATAACTGAACACATTAATACTGCATTTGAAAAACATTGTCATACGGGAGCTGTATTTATAGATATTTCCAAAGCATTTGATAAAGTATGGCACGAGGGCCTACTTTTTAAACTAAAATCCATTAGTACTCCATCTTACTTATTCAATATTATTAATTCATTTTTACTTAACAGGCAGTTCGCTGTTAAAATAAATGATAACACCTCAGACCTCATGCCTAGATCTGCTGGTGTACCTCAGGGCTCTAAGCTTGGTCCCATACTATTTAACATCTACGTATACGATATCCCCCAGTCACCTCGTACGAATATTGCCCTCTTCGCTGATGATACTACAATATTCACCGAATCACGTAACATTGAAGCATTAACCACAAATCTGCAAGCACATCTTGATGTAATATCTTATTGGTGTAAAAAATGGCGTATTCAAATAAATGCGTCAAAAAGCACAGGAGTTATTTTCAGTCTTCGTCCTTACCACTTCCCTGAACAATTAACATTTAACAATGTAAATATACCATGGAGCTCGACAGTTAAATACCTCGGTTTGACATTGGATAAACGGCTAACATGGCAGCCCCATATCTCTTCCAAACTTCAACAGGCATATCAGCGCCTTTCTATGTTATACCCTATTCTCAATAAAAAATCTCCATTACAGAAAAAATGCTCTCTTCTTATATTTAAACAAATTCTACGTCCACTTCTCACTTATGCGTGTCCGGTCTGGGGGAAATGCGCGACCACTCACATCAATAAAATTCAAATTTTTCAAAATAAAGTGCTACGTATTATTTCCAACGCGCCTTGGTTTATAAGGAACGTAAACCTACACAAAGACCTTCAGATCCAGGAAATCACAGACTTCATTAAAACCTCATCAAAAAACTTCCATACCGCACTGCTCAGCTCTCCTGGCTCACTTCATTATCAGCTCCATGTACATCCGCCTCAACGCAGACTAAAACGTGGACGTCCACATGACCTTCTGGTTTAAACAGCTCCATATACAGCAGCTGTTGCTACTCGTAGCGTCAACTTAAGTTATACAACTTGCCATTTATTATCTGTTATACCTTTATATTGCTATTATTATTGTTAATATTATTATTATTATTAAGTATTATTATTATTATCATTTTTATTATAATTACTTAATTAACTTATCATATTCAAAATGTTAAAACGCAACTTATAATTAATATCAATAGATGTAGATAGCCATGGCTAGGAACATCTTATATTATAATAAAAAAAAAAAAAAAAAAAAAATATCATTGAATTAAAATTTAACAACATCCATATAGTGACCCACTTGTAACCTACTGTACAGCTACCTTTTTTCATACATGGAATATGGGGGAATGGCCAGTGGCGTCATTTGGGGAGAGGTGCAACTGGGGAATTAGCCCCAGTCTAGTATTTACATCAACCTTAAGTCGGCACGTTTACACATCGAAAGAAAAAAATCGAAATTTGGTACTCTGGGCTGAAATTGACAATATTAATAGAGCAATTTAGAACCAAAATGGAACAATTATTTCTTGAATTAAATGCTGGTACCTTAAAGTGTATTCTTTTTAAAAGCTCGGGACATGATATTTTATTATTAACTATTTTATGTATGAAAGCCACGTCATTGAACAACCACCTGGAAGCAAATGGGTCAAGACCTAAATCCATAGTCATGGCCTACAAGGAGGCATGAACATGACCAAGCTTATATTTTATCCAGCTTATCTGTTAGGTATTTTTGTTTAGAGTTCCATATCACTGATGGACATTTTAAAATTGACTTCACAAGAGAGTATAGTATAGTACTTAAGACATCTGTATAAGACATCTAATGTCGGAGTAAAATCGTAGGAGTTTCGTTTTTAAAAGTCAGTAGCATGTACGGCTTTACTATAAATAGTATCTTTATGAACATTAGTCTCATGACAACAGAAGGCCCAAATAATTAATGGTAGATGAAGTTATGTAATTTGAAACCATTTATTTTATGTGTGCTTATTGTAGGGTTATTTCTTCGGCAGCTAAATGAGACTACTTTGCATTTAGAGGGGTTATCTGAAAAATTATTTTGATCACAGCATATTTTGGTTAACGTTCATCTACGTAACATTGCAAAAAAGTTGAATCGTTAATCGAATTTATTGGTGGAAAGATCTTCAAGTCGTCAGCAAATAATGGGTATTTACAAAATTTGAAGGTAGATTCAATATTGTTGATGAATATAATGAACAAGGATGGCGATAAATGCCCACCCTGGGGTACACCAGATGGAGCAGCAGTGTTATTAGATCAGAATCATCTATAAGACGAGTAGAAGGAAAACTATAATAATAATATGGATTGCCTATGCCGAGTTTTTTAAGTCTTAACACCAAAGTCCAATGGTCAATCGTATATTCGTATCGAACGCTTTTTTTAAGATCAGTATCTATAGATTGTAATTGTAACATGTAATTTGAGAACACAACACATGCACTACTAACAGTTGCTTATATAGAATTTGTGCAAATTTTTGTATACTTTTAATTTGTAGTTGTTATTAGTTACGTAACCTATATTTTGCGATTTCGCGAATTAAATAAAAAGTATTGACATTTTTTCAGAATTTTTGGTAATACCTGAATGACTGTACTGTTAATTACCAGTTACCACCTACCAGCGCATACTATTTGGATCCCATATTAAAATGTTGTACCTATTCATCGCTAATTGGAACTTGGGCCCCGTGATAAAAATTATGGTGTACTAAACTACTACTCAGTACCTAATATTGGGCACCGGCGAAAAAACATTTCCCTTCCCAATTTAACAGACTTAGGACTGTCTGTAATTTAAAATTGTATTTATCAACTAGTTGGGGTACAAAGGTAATTCGCTTCCACGTAGTGTACCCCGGGCAACGTCCTAGACGGCTAAAGAATTACCACCACCGGCTGCTGTACTGTTCTGAGAACCTCACAGCAACCATGAGCAACAACAACACTTCTCAACCAGGAAACAGTCCTTCTGAGGACTATTTGACTCGAGATCTGGGCACTCAGCTCCGTATCTTTCAACTTAATGTGGAAGGAATTAGCAGTGATAAAAGCAGATATCTCGAAAGATTATTGAAAGAACATAAAATAGATGCGGTCCTATTGCAAGAAACTCACGTTCCAGATGAGCTACAAATGACACGAAGAGCTACAATTTCTGGATATACACTAATTTCAGCTCTTTACCATAGAAGCTATGGATCTGCTACCTACATTAGGAACGATATAAAAAACTGGAGCCATCTTTTTTCTACATCGACAGACAACGTACACATTATAGCTATACGTGTCGCTGAGATAACCATACTCAACATATATAAGCCACCTAACGAAATATGGCCAACCCCCCCACTACCAGTCATGCCACATCAATCAATATATATTGGGGACTTTAACAGCCACCATACTAGCTGGGGATATGATATGAATGATAATAATGGTGAAATATTATACAACTGGATGGATAGCGAAAACATACAACTGGTATTTAATGCAAAAGATAGGAAGACATTTCACTCAGGCCGATGGGATAGAGGCTACAACCCTGACCTATGCATCGTCTCAAAAAATAAAAACCGAATAGCTATACCAGCTTACAGAACCGTTTTAAACAACTTTCCAAGAAGCCAGCATAGGCCTATACTCATAAATGTCGGCATTCAAATCCCAATTGTTAAAACCATTCAGAAACCGAGATGGAATTTTAGAAAAGCGGACTGGCACACTTTCGCAAAATCTATAGATGCAAATATCAGGTGGATCAAACCAACGAGTAATAATTACGACCGTTTTGTCGGTATTGTAAAAGGAGCGGCAAAGCGCTGTGTACCCCGAGGTTATAGACGAGATTATATACCATGTTGGAATCCTGAAAGTAATCAACTTTATACAGAATACCAAAAAAATAGCACAACTGAGCTTGCAGACATGCTCCTAATTTCACTGGCAAAATCACGTAAAGAAAGATGGATTGAGACGATGGAAAAACTAGATTTCAAACACTCCAGTAGAGAAGCCTGGAATCTGCTCCGCAGACTTGACCCGAACCCGACAAGAACAAAATCGATACCGAAAATAAAACGTGATGAATTTGCCAACAGAATAATCGAAATGACCAGAGCTACGATGGATAAAGAAACAGCAAGAAAAGTCACTATGAACCTAAAAGCTAAAAAACGTGAAGCGACGGACAGATCTAAATGGGCAGAGAATTTTGTCTCTGAAGAAGTACAAATAGCTTTAAAAAGTGTAAAAACTGGTAAAGCGGCGGGACTAGATGGTATTCACCCAGAATTCCTTAAGAACTGTGGTCCCAATACAAGAAAATGGTTAGCCGATTTTTTCTCCGACATATTATGCTCGGGTAAATTACCAAAGTTATTTAAAACAACCAAGGTATTAGCGGCTCTAAAACCAGAGAAGCCAAATGACGACGTAAAAAGTTACAGACCCATATCGCTACTAAGTGCAAGTTACAAGCTACTCGAGAGACTAATCTATAACCGAATATCGAAAACCATAGATGAGGTCTTACCGCAAGAGCAGGCAGGGTTTCGCCCACAACGAAATTGTTGTGACCAAGTCATGGCGCTAACCACTCATATCGAAAATGGCTACGATAAAAAACTAAAAACAGCTGTAGCTTTTGTCGATCTGTCCTCTGCTTACGACACAGTTTGGCGAAAAGGCTTATTATCT